GCCACGTGCAGCGGCATGGCGCACTGCGCCGCGTTGAGCACGAACAGCTCGCTCCACGCCATGCGCAGCAGGGCCACCTGGTCGGAGAGCTGGAAGTCTGGGAAGAAGGGGATGCCCTTGGCCCACTCGATGGCACTGAAGAGGAGGCGGGCGGCCAGCTCGCAGATGTTCTCGATGCCCATGACGTTACTGGGCTGCAGGCACTGGGCCCCGTAGCGGGCCGTGGGGTAGGGCTCGGCCCGCAGCAGCAGCGAGATGAAGCCGCTCAGGTAGCTGTGGCCGGCGTAGGGGGCCCCGGTGGCGTTTTTTTTGGACAAACACCCCCCGGCAGCTCGAGGGTCGAGCAACACCCCCCGGCAACACCAGCTCGCGGCAGCTTTTTGTTAGAGAAGCACATGAGAAGCGTTGGGGCCCCCATGCAGGCGTTCAGGGTCGCCGCTTACTTGTGTCCAGCACTAATGAGCTGAGGCTGACGAGGGGCCACCCCCGAGGAGGTGCCCCAGGCACCTGCCCCAACTCTGGCACCAGCCACCCCCTTGATGGGCACCCGTGAGTTGCCCGCCCTGTCCCTGCCTTCTTCCCCGTTTTGGCCTTGAGTTTCCTGCCATTTGGAGACTTTGAGATGAAAAACCTCTCTGGATCCAGGTTGCCTGAGCTCTGCGCTGGAAGGATTTGGGATGAGACATGAAAAAGCAGAACGAGGAAGGAAGAAGGGAGGGCTGGAAGGGGGGCAGGCGGGGGCCGCGTGGCTCTACCTGCGCTAACCCCAGCGCAGCCCCCACTGCACGGGTAGATCCAAGGCCGCTTGAGGGCCAGGTCCCCACTGCGCACATGGTCCCCGGGGGCTGCGGGGCTGGCCCGCGGCATCAGAGCCCCCCGCTGCGTGGGCAGCCCTTGAGGGAGGCTTAGCTTAATGCAGCTTGACAATCCCAAGTGTCATCCAGCGGTCGGGATCACCATCCCAAGCTGGCTCCCACCTCCCGGAGCCGCAGCAGCCGGACAGCGCAGCGTCCCACAGGACACCTCCATCCTGTCCCTGCTCTTGTCCAAGCTGGGGAACCAGCTGTGGGATGCAGCGATCCCAGGCACATCCCACCCCGGCTGCTGAGTTTAGTTCCCAGAGGATGAAATGACCCTTTTTGGCCCAAACACACACGCAAAAATAAAGCGCATCCGTGAAGGGCTTCCCTCTGCCCAATTCACCAACTCTAGCTCTCTGGAGAGAGATTCCTCTGGAGTTTTTCACCCATAGCATCTTTAATAAACAAACAGGTTTAAAACCAGCAGTTGCATCACAGGAATCTTTTGGTGCCCAAAATGTACTTTCCCCTGTGGGTGGTTCTGTGCACCCACGTCCGCAGCTGGAGGAAAGATGCCTCCTGTCTCCCAGCACCTGGAAACATTGTAAAAAAATCAAAGCCGGGATCAGGCCTGGAAGGAAGGGCACTTGGGCCAGCCCCACACCAGCCCCTGGTGCTGGACCGGGCATTAAATCAGCACCAGAGCCCTGCGAGCAGGTCCTGGATGAGCAGCAAAAGAAACCCAGCCAGGGCCGAGCAGTCGCTTGCAGTGATTTCTCTTTCTGAATTAAACAAAAGGGGAAAAAATAAGGAGGAAAAATAAAAGAAGAAGAAGAAAAAAAAGCCGAATTCTGACCCCAAACAACCCCTGCTAGGCGCAGCGGCAGCTCCCCGCGCAGAGCAGCCCGAAGCAGCCGCAATCCCACAGGAGCAGGGCAGGGCAGCTCGAGAAGGGGCCAAAAGGCCCCATCTTTTGCACGGTTCGTGAAACTCAGAGGCTGCACCTTTCCTCCTGCCACCAGGACACCACGGCATTTTCAACATGGGAAAATGAGCTTTTTTTATACGTTATTTTTAACATGGCCCGGAAAGCTCTTTTGTTATTAGAAGAAATCAAAGCAGAGGGCTTGCTGCACGGACAAGGATGCAGGTCAGGCTTTGGAAACGGAGCTAAACTCCACGTTTTGTGCAGCCACAAAAATCAGCTGCAAACAGAGAAGCCAGAAATCCCAGGAAATGTGTCCAGTTTCCTAAAAAAGAATAAAGTCCCGTGTAGTGCAGCAGGAGAAGGAAAACTTGCTGGGAGCAGATCTTGCTGCCCAGAGGATCTGTCCCATAGGCCTTCCTTTGCACACACACTTCCATGATATTTTTTTTTTGGTGGGGGAGAAAAAAAAAGGAAGCTAAAGTTGAAGGTAGCCCCTCACTAACCTCCTCAAAAAGGGGCAGTGTTTTAATACAAATTCCTAACTCCATGGCACTCGGGGGGACTCCTGGAGACCGGCTCCAAATGATACCTGAAGGCATTAGCATTTTCCTCCTTTTTGATGAGGGTTTGGGGCACATTTAAGCCATTTCCAGCTGCCACAGCAAGCAGCAGGGATCCAGGAGGAGTTCCCGAAACGGCACGCCAGCATTTCAGCATTGCACGGGCTTCTCGGCCAAAACGACGCCGGGACCCTCTGCCAAAACCCCCAAACCTCCCCCAGGGCAGAAGAAATCCTGCAGAGATGACACCAACACGCTCCCTCCTTCCCTTCCAGCCAACATAGAGAAACATTTACCTGAAATAAAATCCACTGAGAAAAGGAAAAAAAAATCAGGAGAAACAAGGGGATGTGAGCTGCTGGGAAGCGCTCTCAGCTTTTGCAGCATTATATCCATTCAAGCACCAAGGAATTGCTTGAAATCCCAACACTGAGCCCGTGCTGGGGCATCCTGCGGCATGAATCCGCATGGGACCACCAAGGTGTTTTCCTCCATGCAAAGGGGCTGTCTGTTTTGCACCGTGACACACTGTCCGTTTCTGCCTTATCTTAATCTTACTGATTTATTTATTTATTAATTAATACAAAGAGGTGACTTTTTGGCTGTTCTGTGTGTCACAACTGTCGCTGCAGCGACCCGCAGCAGAAAACCCTGGAAAAATGGGAGAAGGATCCCTGCCTCTCGCCAGCTGCTTCCCAGACAGTGGGAAATCACCATCATCAGAGAGGGGCTTTAATAGCAAAAAAAATAAAAGAACATGGGCGATAAACAGAGACAAGGGAAGAAGAGATGGGTGCAAAACTCACACCTTGGTCGTCAGGGATGTGCCAGACGGGTTTTAGGACGGTGGCACAAACAGGGAAGGAGAACCTTATCCTCCACCCCTTTGCCCAGCTCGCGATAATATTTCTGCCAAACTGGATGGGCTTTAAACTGCAGGGGCTTCCCGCCGGCGAGCCGAAAGCCACCGGGGAAGGATAAAAAAGAAATCGAGCTGTTGCATCGCGGTCCCCCGGGAGCCGCGGCTGAGCCCTCCCCGCCACCCGCAGCCCTTTCACTTCTCCACCGCCGTCAGTGCAATTAGGAGGATAAAATGCAAAGAAAATTAAAAGCAGCACCGGATCCTTCATTAAGCACCGAGCATCCCGGAGCATTCATTTTACGCGCTGCTCAGGGCTGAGTTTTCGGCTCTGCATCAGCCCAGCGCTGGCTGATACCCGAACGCTTCCCATATTTTCACCCTCACGTACCATTTCAGGCTTCAAAACAAATACTTCTAAAGCTGGTGCTTTCATTAAAACTAAATAAATAAAAGAAACAACATGCAATTACGTGGCCAAAATCAGGCAAGGCAGCGGCACATGTCATATTCTTGTTATCTTGAAACGCGATTTTAATCCCGGTCATGCTAAGTATGAGAGCGGCTGATTCGGACTAATTAACTTCAGATTTGCCAGACACTCCTCCCCAGAGCCAAAGTCCTAATCTTTTAGAGAATATCTGCATTATTGCCCTCTAATTCCCTGCTTTTAATTTTATTTTTTTCCCCTTCTAAAATAGTGACATCCCCGACTCACACATAACGGCGAGGAAGAGTAAATTGTTGCCATCCCTGTGCAGACACGAAGCTATAAATCAAGCCCGACTTTAAGCCCCAAAGAAACTAAAAGTTCACTAGTTCAAAAGAACAGTTTTGCTGATGATTTAATTAAGGCAAATAGGAAACAGGTTCCCACTGTAGAGCCTTTGGCGGCACGGCCAAAAGTGGAGGGTGTTTGGATAACACAGAGGCTTACGGCCACTGTCATGTTTCCCTTCGGTAAAAGGCATGGAAGGAGAGGAGAAGCAGGAGTGAGATGAGTGACCACAGAGGATACAATAATGAGGCATTTGCGTGGCAAAAAGGAGAGAAAGCGGGGAAGGGGAAAGGAGAAAAAAAAAAAGGAAAGAAAAGGGAGAAAAAAAAAAGCAAAAGCATCAGGGAGATTCGCGATGGATAATGGATTTTGGAGAATGCTGGGTGTTCTGTGCGGCTTCAGCAAGCCCGCGTCAGGAGAGTTTGTTCCTGATTGTAGGATACCTCTCCCAAAAGAATGTGACAGAGGCAGAGAAGGGCTGGCAAGTGGGTCCCAAGGCTCCGTGGTCAGGAGGATCCCTTGGCACCTGGGCCAGGCCCCACAAGAGATGGGACAGGAGCAGTGGAAATACGGAAAGAGATAACAGAGAGACAGACAGAAAGAGGGATAATGAGAGGAGGGGGAAAGGAAAAATGAAAGAAAAATGGAGAAGAGTTTTCTCTTTCTTTCCCCCACACACTTTTTCTTTCTTTCCTTCCTCTTTCTTTCCCTCTTTCAACTTTCTTTCTCTTTCACTGATTTTTTTTTCTTTGTCTCCCTTCTCCTTTCTCTTTCTCTTTGAGCTCTCTTTTTGCTTTCTCTTTTTCTTCCTTTTGTCATTTTCTTGGTCATTTTGCTCTCTTGATCTTTTCCTTCTTTCCCTGCCTTTTCCCTCTTCTTTTTCTTTCTTATTCTCTTGTGCTTTTATATTTTTCCTCGCCTTTTTCCCAGTCCCTCTCAGCCTTTTTCTCTCATTCTTTTTCCTATTTTTTCATCCTCTCTTGCCCTTTCTTTTGCTCCCTCTTATCCTTTTCTACTCTTTTCCTCTTCCTCTTATCCTTTCCCTCACGTTCTTTCCCCTCTTCCCACTCCCACTTGCCTTTTCTTTTTCTCCCTTTCCTTTTCCACTCCTTCTTGCCCCTTTTCCCCCTTTCTTCTCCCATACCCTCCTGCTCCCTTTCCTGCCTGTTCCCATCCTTTTCCCTTCACTTTTCCTCCTTTAAGCACTGTTCTTTTTCTTCCCATTTCTTTCCACTTTTCTTTTGCTTCCCTCTTGCTCTCTTGGTCTTCTCTCCTTTCTCCCTTCCCTCTTCACTTTGCTCTTTGCCCTCCTCTCGCACGACTCATGGTGCTGCCCAGTCCCGGTGCCCGGTCTGCCGTCCAGTGCCCGCTGCTTGCTCACGGTGCCCATTCCCTGCTCCCGCTGCCCAGTCTGCTGTCCGGTGCCCAATACCCAGTCCTGCTGCTCATTCCCGGTGCCCGGTCCGCTGCCCGGTTCCCGGTACCTGCTCCTGGTGCTCGGCCCGGTGCTCGTGGCACCTGCTCTTCACTCCCGGCCCCCATTCCGTTGCCCAGCGCCCGATCCCACCGCTCGCTCCCAGTGCCCGGCGCCTGGCGCCCGGTCCCATCGCTCGCAGCCGGTGCCGCTCACCTTCCCGCCGCATTCCGACGCGGAGGCACTTGCGGGGGCGGC